AGAGAGAGAGAGAGAGATTGCGTTGTGCTCTGCTGGTAGGTAATTCTTTGCATAAGCGAGTTATCAAAGGAAATATCACTCATGGTTCTCCCTGAAACGAATCCATCCTTTGAAGCCGAGAGGCTCCTGTAATTTTCTTATCTTGCCCCATTTATAACATAAATTATAGATTTGTCCATAGCTCTCAAGTCTTCAAGTGTTTCTGAAGCAAAGGTTCATTGTTAGTGTCAGAAAATTATGGTGTTGCAGTCTTAGCTCAGTTTTGGAAAACCTCAATCTCTTACCTTTACTGCCTATATTATTTTTGCTTATATCATTTTTAAAGCAAGGTAATGTGATTTAAAGCTGAACTCAGATGTCCCACTACTTCCACTACTTTAAAATGGTGGCTCTAACATTGCTAGCGGTAAGCAGAACAACAAGCAAGATATTTTGGTCATCCTCTTCTGTTTTGTTTTTTGTGGTTTTTGTTTTTTTGGTTTTTTATTTTTTTTTTAATATCTATGGCTATGAAAGCAAACAGCTCTTATGTTCTGACTCCCTTTCCTCTTTATGGGATGACTTTAGTTTGGATGAGGGTCCCTTGCGACAAACAGCAGCGGTCCCTGGCTGGGAGTGCCGTAAGCCGAGATTGTCTGCGCAAATTGCAGAAGGGACGTTCAGCCAAATCCAGCCTGGACAAATGACAGGGAATTGTTTGCTGTGGTTTTGCAAAGGCATAGCTGCCTTGTACCAGCTGCATGTATAAGGAAGGTGACTCCAAGAAGCTCTTGGACTGAAATCGTGCCTTGAATGGAGGTATTGCTACAGGGCCACAGCTCGGCAGGCTGGGAGGATCAGTTTCAGAGTTAAACTACACTTAGAAGCTACCAGAAACGGGGAGCGGTGGATTGAAAGTGGGCAAGGTTCATGTGCCTCACCTGGCGTTACTCTTGAAGAGGATTTCTAAGTATTACAAAGTAAATAAATACGTGGTGGATCAATATGAGTCTGTCTGAGAGATGTATTTTAACTGCAGTTCATTACATTCATTTGGTTTTCTTCAGTGGTTCTGTCACGTTGGTTCTGGAGCCATTTCTTCTGTGCAGCCCCATGGGAAGTTGGTGCTGCCATTAACTTTCGGACCGATCCCCTGACAGTTCTTTGGTGTTTGCAGTTGCTGTCCTGCCCTTGTGCTTCAGGCCGCTACGAGTTGCTCCTCAGCAACGCCGGCAGAGTGTCCCCACGGCCACTTTGCTGTTTGCATTTCTCAGCTGTAAGGTGCTGGCGAGGGGCTCTTCCTTCCCCTCTTCTTCCTCCCGTTGGATCAGCTCCCTGGCTGGCTTTGCGGAGATTCCTTCCACTTGCCTGAGTGGTCCCCAGCCCCTGGAGACATCCCTTATCTGAGCTGCGATTGCACCGGCTGTCATCCACGTTGCCACATGTCGCTCTGCCTCCCTTTGTCAATAGTGACTGCGGGTGAACGTACGGCGGTGGCCATCTCTGCGGATGTGACGGTGAGGTGACGGCTGGTTGTGAGCGCTCCTCGGCACTGCCAGCCGTTTCCTGAAGGTGGTCGTGAAGCCCTTCATCCCGAAAGCATCTTGCCTTTGCAGCCGACAGGGAGGAAAAGCTGAGTCCCTTCGGGTTTCTCAGCTGGTAGATGAGGATTTTGCTAGATGTTTTAAACACAAAAAGCCCAACCCTGAAGGGCACTGTAAGCACTTGGCCGAGGGGGTAGCGCTGCTGGAGAGCTGGCGTTTTCAAAGGAGGTTCGTTGCCTCGGGATGTCCTTCCTAGAAGCACTCCCTAAACCTCTGTTTGTCTTGTTGCTCAAGCTTACGTGTTTCTCTTTCTAACCTCTTCTGTGCCATGCCAAGTAACGTGCGAGAGCGTCGCTGAGCAGGCTGTGTCCTTGGGTATGTTGGGCACGTGTTGGCGCAGATCCTGCTCCCGCCCCGGCAGGCAGTGGTACCTGAGCTGCTACAGCCAGCGCTGCCCCACAGCGTGGGCCGTGGTCATGGCCCGAAGCCATTCACATCTTGCTGCTTTCGGTGGCTGAAAAATGATTGCAAGCACTGTGAGGACTGTGTAGGCATGAATGTTAGAGTCTGCAGTCTATAGGGTAAATATATACCCCATCAAAGATGGGCACTGGCAGGGACCTTCCCCATGCACCCACAGAAAGGTCCATGTGGTCGAACTCTGACATGGAGGTGATGTTCAAGGCACCCTGGAAAACCGTCAAAGTCCCACCTGAATGTGGAAAGTAGAAATATGCATGGTTCTTCATACATTAAATGTAAAACCGGCAGTAAACCAGGTCAAAACCAAAAGAGGGACCATGGGCATCCACTTACCAAGATAAAACCCCAAATCTGAGGGCATGTCCTGCTTCAGCTGGAAGGGACAAGGCTTCCAGGGAGTCCTCCCGGCTGGCGGGCAATCGAGGAATGAAAGGACGGCTCCAAAGAGCGAAGACTGTAGTAGGCAAGCTGAAGGTTGTCTGGTTTCACTTGGAAGAGCTCAGGGGGCTTTCTCTGCTGGGGGTTTCTGATGGGGAGGCTTGGGCATAGGTCTCAAGCTGAAACGTTGGCAGAGGAGGCGGTAGGACAGGGTGTTCGGTGAACGTGAGCAGGGGGCTGGGCCTGCGCCCCAAATTGTCGGGGGAATTGAGGGTGAAAAGGCCAAAGCTCTTGCTTGTAGCCTCTGATTTAAAGTTCTTCTCATGTTAGGGAGGTGTCAAAAGGGTGGATGGGGTTCGAAAGAAGGTTTGTTTTCAGAGAACTACCAGCCAGTGACCGTGATGTCTTTGCCACACTGGTAGAAACTCCAGTGAAGACCTGAGACATAAATGACTGATGTGCTGGAAGGGCCAAGGGCTGATGGATGAGGAAGAGGAGGAATCCAGGCCTCAAATCTGCTGGGAGGTTTCTGAAGGAGACAGCAAGTGTGTGGACAAGGACGCTGGAGTTAATCTAGTCTGTCTGGGTTTCCAAAAGGCCTTTGATTAAGTCCTTTATGAAAGCCATCCAAGCAGCTAGACGGATGCAGGATGAAAGGGGAATGCCTGTGGGGGTCTAATAAAGGTCATGGTTTGAAGTATTCAGGGTTGAGACTGGGAAAGCGGGCGGTGAGGAGCTGCAGGGGGGCATGGCCAAGTAGAAGTACAAAGCGGGAAGGAGGACTGGCTGCCAGTGATGGCGGCTGAACCAGCTGTGGTCTGGCAACTCGGACATCGCTGCTGCTGAGGGATGGTCCTGTGAAAACACCCGTTCTGTCCCGGCGAGGGGGGATGGAGGAGCCCCTGCAGAGCGGGGCTGCCCCGTGGCGGTGAGCCACCGCAGCCCTCCCTACGCATGGGCCGGGGCGAGGAGCTGCTCGCG